TGTATATGTATTTTGTAATCGAAATAAGTTAATTGAACACAATTTACCTCTATACAAAAGTGCTTCGTTTGTCCGCAAGAGGGCATCAAATTTACAAAAAAATAATACATTTTTAAGATATTTTAAGTTTAACTAACCTCACCAACTAATAACAAATTATTTCGATTTTATGATGCTTACTGAAAAAGTGTGGAAAGTCCTAAATTCTATATTTTATTTTAGTTTACATACAAAACAGAAAAGCCACGAGTTTTTAATCATAACCTCATTTTTTATTAATTGTGGTACGATTTTAGGGTCAAATCATATATGATACATATTGTGCACAAAACCAGTCTTAATAATGTAATTATTTTGAAATTTTCGTTATTCCCAACATGGAAGCAGTTATTCTTTAGTTGACGAATATATTTAAATTTTTGTAGCTCAGATATTTCTTTTTAATAAAAAAATTTTCTCACTTTTTTGGCTTTTGTAATATTGTTTGTTATACCTGCTATGAAAAAAAAATATTTACTTAATAAATATGCAAAAATAACATAATCATGTACCTATGTTATGGAGAGTTTGATACATTTTCTTTCTTTTTCTTTTTGTGAACATAATAAACTTATTATCTATAATTTTAAAATATTTTAGAATAAACAAGTCGTATTTAACTGCTTAATCTTGACAAATATAAAATTAACAAAATTTTGACGTATCTACATTTATTTATAAATAAAATTCGATTAAGTGCTCCTTGTACTTGTAACGCCACTGGTAACTGGATACTCTTGGACATTCCTAGAATACTTTTTAAATTTACTTATATAAGACAAATAAAATTAATATGTCTCATTTAAGTACGTGGAAAAAACGTTGAAAAAATAAAACTGATTTAGTATTTTTGAAATTTTTGTATAAATAAGTAATGTTATTTTAAATATTTATTGCACGCCCATGAATTGCTGGCTAATAGGAGAATTTGTACGGGATGCCCCTAGCTACAGAGACCGGCACTGTACGTAGATTTCCAGAATAGTGTTAAAAATAAATTCTTTCCTCTCATATAGGGTGTCCCAATATGCTTTTTTATTTTGCCTCGAATTTATGTAGGGTGGATAGTTTTCATACTTCCCGTACTATTTCTGATTTTTCGTGTCAAATATTATAGAGTCTAGAATGTCATCCTGTATATACAGTGTGTCCCCGGATCGTCTGGATAAGAGGAAACATTTTTTCTATTAACTTTTTGAGAAAAATGCATTCTTCACAAAAAAATGCTTGTTCTACAATAGCTAATCTCATTTATGCTTTTCCAAATATCGTTTTAGAGAAAAATAAAAAATATGGTAATATACAGGGTGGTCCGAACTGTATTTCGGAAACTTCGGCAGTATATTCTGCAGATAAAAACAAGTAAAAAAGGTTCGTATAAATGTATGCCCTAAGATGCTTAGTTTTGGAGATACAGGGTGTAGAAGTTTCATTTATATTTCTATTTTTTCCGAATAAATTTTTTGCCCGTCAATATTTGATGAAAATTGGTGTCTGGGGGTCTTTTGGCATGAAAAAATTTGAATTTGATGTCAATATGACTCCCTGTTTGTAGGGGGCGCCACCTACGTATGTTTTAACTGTTTTGAAGAGTAATAACTTTTCGTCCGTACCTTTACATAAACCACTGAGTGAAAAATATACTTTTACGTAAAAATGTCTCTTGGTAAAAATCGTTACGAGCAACCGTTCTCAACATATTTAAAATGGAAATAGTCAATACATGTCATTATTGCCAAAAAATAAACACGTTGTGTAGATAGTTATTTGACTGAAATAATAAATTAATATTTTTTTTTAAATTGATCATAATTTTTTCTCCGAAAAAAAATGATAAAACAGTTTATCAACCAAAGTTTATCAACTTTTGGCACAAAAACATTTCAAATTTATGATTTCAGTCTAACAAGTTTAGTTAAAATATTTAATTTATCGGACCACCCTGTAGTATCGTCACAAGTATCGTTCTTTAAAATTTGACCTCGTACTCTATACACCCTGTATATACATCCTAGAATTAAAATCTGTTCTCATTAATAATAATTAAATAAAATAAGACAAAACATCCGTTAATGTTTCACCAATACATAGCGTGATTAAAATAAATAAAATACTTATAATGTAAAAAAAATCACTGGGCGCGTTTATGTTTGAATCAAACCAATCAGGAGCTCTCAAGAGTAATAAAGTGAATGCGTTCCAATCTTACCTACTTTCGATGTTCTTCCATTCGAAAATCTCTAATTACGATCACTTTTATACCAATATTTCTTTTATTGTTCACTGTGTAACGAGAGGTTTATAATCTAAAATTGGCGTCACTGATAAAACCAATAAGGCATCATCACAAAAATACTGATTAAATATTTTCAAAAAGAAAAAAAATTATACTAAATTTTTGCGACGATATATACACTATTTTACACAAAACTATCAATATTTTGTGTACACTCGATGAAGAAACAAGCGAAACTAACCAAACGGTTGTTCTGTCACAATGAGACGTCAAACTCACTTGGATACTGCTATGAGGAGGACGAGCGCTTATTGTGGCTGTGTAGAGCGGACAACGGTAAGTTCATTGTACCAAAAGACGGAGCGGCACTTTGACTTCGCACTAGTTCGGTTCGCGGCGAGTTAGGAAATGCGGAGCGGCACGCCTGCGCAGTGGAGCAAGGTCAGAGACGGACTCAAGTAGTACGGCGCGGTACTACCTTACAGGATGATGCCTATATTGAAATTTGAATGATTCGCTACCTATACAGCTTTGTTTGTTGTTGTTTGATTAGTTTTGGGAGTGTATTTAATGGGAGATACTAAAACTCAAAAAGAAATTTGACTTTCAGTGTCTTTATTTATTTTATTACACAACCTTTCAGTCAGAAGTATCACTGACCAATAATTGAACTGACTGGAATGGTTCGAGACCAATGCCATTAGTGCAGCATTAGAAAAAGTCAATATCGACTCTGAAATTCAGCACAGGATTAGCAGCGCCTGAGCATTCTGGAAATTAAAAGACAGGGTTTCTCTTACAATCATAACTTGAGCACAAAACACGAATCTGTGTGTACTTGAGCAAAAAATAATTTCCACCATGTTATATGGAAGGAACCTGGGTGCCGCGTACCGCCGACACATTAAACGCATTAAACAAATTGCAACAGAGGACATATTAGACAACTCTTAAGCGAACTACCATCATGTCTCAAACGTATTTGTCCTTGAAAAGCTAACTGCGACTATTGAAGTCTTGATTACAAAGTCCCGCTTTAAGATGGCTGGTCACGTATGCAGAATGCAAGAAAACCGCATAACAAAATCTCGCTTTACGGTGAGCTTGTAGACGGTAAGAGGAGGCCGGGGCGGACAACTCAAAAGGTACAAGCGGATATTCTCCACGAAACTTAAAGGGGATTAACAAGCAGAATGAGTGGGAAGAGGCAGCTCACAATAGAACTGAATGGAGAAGAATTGTAAACTCAGTTAACAGCGACAACCAAAAGTAAGAGGCAACAATGTAATGAGATTTTTAAATGTCCGAGGTGGTAGACAGATAACACGTATTGGGCTTTTTCAGTCACAGAAAAGCTCATGAAAGAAAACGCTTTTACGTGACCATCTTCCGATGCGTGTCAAATACTCGTCAGCGAGTAATGGCAGTATGTATGTAGTACGGCAGTCGTCAAACCTAAAATCTGGCTCCGATATGTTGGTGATATCTTTATAATCTGGAACGGAACCGATAGACAGTTTGATTCTTTTCTTAATCATCTTAATTCACGAAATAACTCAATCAGATTCACGATTGAGAAAGAGAAAAACCTCTGCCGTCTGCCGTTTCTGGATGTTCTTGTCAGTAGAAGCGATGGATTATGGAGATTAGCATTTCTGTATAGAAAACCGAACACATACGGGACAATATTTAAATTTCAGTCGAACCATTCTAGCCAAACTAAAAAGAGGTATAATTAAACACTATGTCACAGAGCAATCACTATATGCAGTGACCAAGAATCTCTGAATTCTGAACTAAATAATATTAAAAACGATTTGCTTCAGAATGGTTACTTCCAAAAATCCATAGACAAATTTATATTCCAATTGCAGGGCTGACTCATTAGCCAGCCTGAGGAGGATGCTATCTCTCTCTCTCTCTTCTCTCTCTCTCACACACACACACACACTCTAAACCTTAACTAAAAGGAACATCGGAGTCAGGTGAATAGCTGCTACAATAAAATGAAAAACTGTTTTTAAGTCTGCAACTACTTTAAGGAGGTACTAACAAAACAAACCTCAAACTCATCAAACCAAGAGAAAGAGCATCTATCAGGTACCTTGCGAGTGCGGTGAGTCGTATATTGAGAGACAAAATGTCCTCTAGATGTACGACTTTGACGAACATAAAAAACATACGCAAAGAGGTGAAACAATGAAGTCGGGTATTGTAGATCATGTGTGGTCCAAGCGCCACAACATAAATGGTCGGAAGCCCGGGTTGTCCACAAAGAACCCCATTGGAAAAAGCGCAAATTTAAGGAGGCCGTATTCATTTCTAACAATAATAAAATCTTTAGCAATCCAAGCATTGGCGTAACTACAGGGGTGCCGGCCCCCCATGTACTGCTGGGCGAGAAATCCTGAATTATGACTCTTGACTATGTATTAATTTTTATTTGCTTGTGATGCAGAAAATGATGTTTTCTAGTTTTGTTTAGTTAATATTATTTTGTCGTGTTCAAAAAATCTGTTAATTTTTATTTTTTTTAGAAAATTTGTAGGTATTTAAATAATCCACGGGAACACACGGTTTGATAACCAAGTCTATGAAATCTATTGATAGAGAAATTCATGTAAACGTTTTATTCAAAAAATGTGTTTTTTAAAATTATTTTTCATTTTTTAAAAAACAAAGCCTTAGGCCCCTCTGCTGGTTCATTATTAATATCCCAGCCATATTAATATCCCATCGCGTTCTCTTTCCCTAAATTTGTTGATATGGTCCTAAAAAGCAATTATCTATAAAATAACCCATATCAAAATTCTGCTGAATCCCTGTATTGGACCACTCATCAAGGCTGTATCTTTCATTTACGTACAGATGACAGAAAATGTAGTAAACAGTGTGAGTAATCATTTCCTCAATACCAAAAACCAAACGATCAAATCGTTGAAATAAATTATTAAAAACATTTTTGATTAAAAAACTATACATTATAAAAATTATTTTAGAATCCAATTATCTCAAAATCTATATATCCATATATTATTCCAAAACTTTGGATACAGAGATAATATAGGAACTAAGAGAAATAGAAATTAATTTACAAAAAAGAAAACGAATTAATAAATTACATAAAAATAGCATTATTAATAAAAAATAATTTTGTTAATGAATGGAAAAAAAGTTGATATAATATTGAAATGAGACTCCGCTCTAATGAGAACAAACAACAATCAAGATCAAGGTCTTTATTAAAATATTGTTATTGTCATTTAAACAGAATTATAAATGAAAGGAAAGTTACTTACTACTAAAAACAGTCTAAAAAACAAAAGATTTAGTGTTAATAACAATAATAAAAGTAAATAACGAAATAAAAACTTATAATTTTATCTAAAAAAAATAGTTTGTTAGCAAATAATATTAAATAAATTATGTGTAAATAGTACTGAACGCTCCTTAGTACGGTACTGATACGATGACGTTCCACTGAAACAGGAATTCAACTACTTCAAGTGGGGACCTTACTTTTGCAATGAGGGATGTCGCGAAAAAAAATTAGTACTAAAATTTGTACAGTTTAAAAATATCTTGGTACAATTATGAGATTTTAATAATAATGATGTTTTTTTCCGGATTTCTGATGTTTTTAGACATAAAACTAGGTAGTTATGCGATTATTTTAGTATTATTATTATCATTTTCAGCTTATTCAACCATTTCTAATTATGGTGTAGCCTTCATCACATGTTTAGATACTCTCTTTGTAGTTGGGCCCATTGTTGTCTATTGTTGCCTATACGGGCCCAAGTTATCCCTGCTAATTTTCTTATATCATGGTTCTATCTCAGGTTCGGTCTTCTTCTAGGTCTCTTAATTGGTGCCATTGCCATTTGAGAGACTTGACTCTGTAGATGATCATCTTTACCTGGGTATTTTGTCGTATCCACTCTTTTGGTTATCCCCAGCATATTTCGTTCCATTGAGTGTTGAGCTACCTGCAGTTTCCTCATGATGTCCGTTTTAAGTGTCTAGATTTTGCATGCATAGGTCATAACTGGTAGTACAAATTGGTCGAATGTTTTCTTCTTTGGATAATGTGGCATTCGAGATTTGAATATGATTGAGTTTCTTTATTAGAATGTCGTTCAGTGTACATTACTTTAGCTTTTGCTAAATTCATTTTAAGACCTATTTTATTGATGGCTGTATTTAGTTCGTTAATTTGTGCTTGTAGTTTTTCAGGATTTTTGGCAATAGGACTATGTCATTAGCGAATCTTAGACGGTTAAGATATTCTTCATCTATTTTTAATCCTTTGTTGGTCCGGTCCAGTTGACAGAAGATTTCTTCTAGTGTTGCTTTGGCTTCTTTGTCCACCGGGGAAGCTGTGGGGAAGCCCCCTAGCGACACTGAGAATATTACAATAAAAGTTCCAAGGAAATCCAAAGGAAACTACAAGAGGTGCGGCTGACACTTGCTTGGGATCGTCCTCCACAAGTGGCACACAAGCACCATCTTCTCCAGCAAGGGTCGCGAGCCTACCTCTAGACCCAATAAGCGACACAAGCTGCCGTTTCGTCTACCCAGCCTGGGTTAACCAGGCGGGTTAGACGATCCTCTGAGAGTAGATCTTAGCGAAGCAGAAGCACGGAGATACCTCCGACTGCTCCACGAAGGACTTGCTCCAGAGGAAGTAAAAGCGAAAACGCTCCTCCGAAAAGGGGAGAGTAATGAAACCAAGAAACAACCTGACTCATCTCCATCAAAGGGCAAGAGAGGGAGCGAGAATCTCTCACCTCTTCTCCGGCAGGGAAAGAAAAAAGCTAGGATGGAAAGCCGTCCAACACCGGGAGGCAAGCAGGGACGTATCACCAGCTTTGCCGCTATTGCTGGACAAGTGAAAATGGCGGTGCTGCTAAAGAACTTCCCAGAGGTTGCTCTGACCACCGACCAGCAAACGTCTCTAGAAGAGGCTATACTGGACAAAGCAGTGGCGATCGGATCGCAACACAACGATATACAAAATGTGGGTGAGTTGCGTTTTGCGGGGATACACTTTCGGGTGGGCATGATCATCATAGATTGTGTATCTCAAGATCGGCGAATTGGTTGATGGAAATCGCACCTAAACTTAAAAATTGGCAGGGGCCGGAACTGGTTGCAGTGAAGGGAGAAAACATCCCTAAAGGGGCGGCCATCACGGTCTTTTTGCCGAGGAGCAAGGGGAAATACACCACCTACCTGTTGAGCCTTATCCAGGGTCAGAACTTCAATGTAAGCACATCGAGTTGGCGAGTCATCAACTCGAGGGAGGAGGGTCATGGTCAGGTCCTCACAATAGGAATTGACCTTAAATCGAAGGAGGCAATACAGAAAGAGAGACATATCCTCTATTATAGATACGGGACAACACCGGTATCAGGTCTAAGGCGAGACCAAGTTAAAGAGGTGGAGAAAATGGAGACAGATCCTCCAGCCTCCACCTCACGGGTTCCTCAGCCGGAGGCAAGCTCCTCGACTGTGAAGAGCGGCACGGAGGGCCAAACTCCAACTGTGGAAGGGTGTGTCCCTCTCGGAGGAAGAACTGTTGTCAAAGGAAGATGGGAAATACCCTGCCCCTCTACAACAGAGGTATGATGGGTTGTAGACTGTGTAATAACTCAAGGAAGGGGGCACAATAGATCTTTAAGGTCGTAGTGATTAACCCCCCTCTCACTCATTCTACATTCTACATTGGCTTCTTTGTACATATTGGCGAGAGTTTATATATAAGGTCCCTGTCAATACTTTGTTTTTAGTAATATCTTAACATATTACTCGAAGTTTGATATATGTGATTTTTCGTATACATGATATAAGCGCGATATTTTTAGTACAATTTCGCCCTTTCCAGTACATTTTGCTTTTGTATTATTCCACAACGTAACAATACTGCGAAGGCGACCCGCTAAAAAGAATACTCGGGCTGCAGATTTATGATTGTACTTGTTTATACGGATAGATAAGTTTTTTTAGGCTTGTTCTAGACTTAAATATTATTAATCTCGTGATGCAGTGTAATTTTATGATATTGCCAGTAATAATAATTTTATTCGCATCTACTCAGTTGAAAGTAACATTATTTTCTTAATGTTATTTTTAGATATGCTCGATAATATTGATGCTGCGAATCATTCCTACACTTTATTAAGAATTAAACATTTTTATTAATATTTATTCAGTATATTTTAGTACCCCTACTATACAGGGTGTCTCAATATTCCGTGGACATAGGACTACTGCGTAATTCATAAATCAAAATAGTCTTCATTGGACACAATTTACTTCAATACAAAAATGCTTTTTGTTCCATTGAGGGTATCAACTTTGTAATAACATATTTTTAAGATGCCTTAAGGGATCATTATTCTGATTTGAATGAGGTTTGGGGTGCCTATGTTTTGATAAGCCTTTAAATACTTTTTGATTTCTGCCAAAATGAAGTGAAAAAGGACCAGACGTAGAAAACCACCCCCATCTCTGCTACAAATTTTATTAGAAATATTTTCCTACGTCACCGACTGGTGATTTTTTTTTCTAAAAAAAAAAAAAAAAAAAAATTTTGTTTTTTAGAAAAATGCCATATCGAATAGAAATATATAAATATTCTCAAAATATGTGGTTATTTTTTTTACAAGATCCAAAATGTAGTAAACACTAGAAAGATCATTTTACGATTTTTTTCTATCTAAGATTTGTGTAAGGTAGTGCCTTTCAACTTCCCGTCCTTAATTGATTTCCTTTTGTGAAAGTCAAATAAATGTTAAAAGTACTTAGCAAAACATAGACAACCCAAATCCCATCTGCAAATCGGAATATCGGTTCTTCAAAAATCTTAAAAATGTGTTTATTTTTAAAGTTTGATTCCCCCTAACGGACAAACTATGAAGTACCCTTTTGAATTGAGGTATATTGTGTCCAGTAAACTTATTTTTATTCCAAAATACGCAGGTGCCCCATGTCCACAAATATTGGGGAATACCCCTTGGTTTTAGTACCTACTATACAGGGTTAGTCTTAAAATAAGTGCAAATATTTTAGTGGTAGTATATTAATTGTTTTGAAAAAGAAAAAAAAAAAAAAAATGAAAAAATTGAAAATTTGGAAATTTTTAGTTTTTAGTTAAAACCACACCATTTGATAGTATGGCAACATTGGTAATAAATTAGGTGTAAATTAAAAAAATTACAAGAAAGAAAAAAAAAAAAAAAAAAAAAAAAAACAGTGGTTCTCAAAATTTAAGCAAAATCATTTTTAAAAATAAACGGTTATTTTGGACTTCTATTTTGAAAATGGCAAAGAGAAAAATATGTTTCTTTATCGAGATCTATCAGTCTGAAAATATTTCAGAATTTTTAAGACTCCACCCTGTATAGTTTTCATATAAGTGATGAAAATGAAAACCAACCTAACATTCCCTATCTTGATCTTACAGTCTAATAAGTAATCTTAGTCTTGGCCTTTCAGGGTCCATTCTTGGTCTTGGTCTTGCTGTAAGATGTAAGACTCTTTAAAACACTCTATTCTTAATAGATTTTATTAGAAGCACTTTCTACATAGAAGGTTTTAAAATAAATAGAATATATATTAAGGTAATTCTACTGCAAAATTAAACATTAAAGAAAGTAAAGCAGTATTGTGTTTGATGAAGCAATGACGCTGATGATCCGCGAAAAAAAAATATCTGCGAAACGCGCGTCCAGAGAAAAAGTAAGAGTGTTTTGGTGTGTTATGGTGA